TCAGAGTTTAGAAAAACTACATCTGTTTAATGATTACACTTCTTGTACAATAATGAGCAGCTCTGTATTTTTGTAGTTTCTCACTCAGGCGGCTTCTTGTACCAGCGCATGAAAGTTTATTGGATATTTAAATAACTGAGGACAGTTGGCCCATTTTAGCCTTCGAGAGGATGGAGCCGTCTCTGCCCGGTGTGCTGTGGAGTTTCTGGCCGACTGTAACTTGGCAGAAACAAAAAATATAACCACGGGTTTAATCGCTGAGGAAGCAAGAGCCAGTTCTTGGGCTCACACACACAGAGCAATGCTTGTTTAAACATACTGAACCGTTTTCTGAGGGTGTTGAAGTTCATGCAGGAATCAGGAGAGATAAAAACACTGAGTCTGTGGAAGGAAGATCTAATTTGGTTCATCATAGCCATAACTGAATTATTAAAACCACCATCATAAACTTTACTAAATACATTTTCCCCCAATTACCTCATGTTTTTGGGGGGATTTAATTAGGTTACAGAGCCAGTGTAGAAAGATAATTCTCATCCAAAGTAGTGCAAAAATAATCACCTTATGCATGAGGTCTTCATTGTAAGGGAAGGTTGTGGGTGTGTGTCCGTCCTCTGTGTCTGTGTCGACTGCAGATGATCCATACGCGCTGTCTGAGGAAACCATCCCCACCTCCTCGTGCCGCGGTGTCACACTGGTGTCATTCATCTCGCTGATTCTCCCTGTCGGACGTCTAGACTTTCTGCAGAGGTGAAGGTCAAAACTTCCTCTACTCCTGTTTTTATACAGTAAGTTTTTTTCCCAGTCTGTCACTAATCTCCTGTTAATGTCCTCAACAAAGAGACATCAAGTCCTCTGGATAAGCACTAACCTGACTCAATATTTATATGAAAGAGTTCCGGTTAGAGACCACCACTGGGTTGTAGCTTACAGTATTTATGAAGGAAAAGCATGTTGAGCATTTTTAACAAGGAAGCAGCATAAACATGTCCAACCTCCTGCTTTTAAGTGGAAATAAAACTGAGTGACAGTTGACAAACATGTAAACAGGAGACATTAAAATGACAAAAACTTCTTATAAATGTTTTTTTTATTGAGTCATCAGTCAGGACTTCTATCCTATGAGCTTGTCCAGAGGCGTACAGCGACAAAGTTCCCTACTCAGATAAGAACCACGGCGCCAACCATGACTCACCAGGACCTCTGCTCTTCATCATAGCAGCACGGATGGAAACCTTAACATCCCACCCTCCTCCTCCTCCTCCTCCTCCAAATGAAAAAGTGAATAAAAATAAAACAAGTCTGCATCAGATGTCACTGAACATGTGGACCGTCAAATACAACATAAGAAGTCAGCAGTTTTTAATGGTTTAACAGAGAACTCAGACAATTCCTCTCAAAATGTGTAGAAAAATAAAATCTGCTACGCCGATGACTTTGCTCGCTCCTCTCAAAAGGAACTGGAGTTTCACCGAAGCAGCTGTCCTGTGCAAGGTAAACAAGGTCACTTGAAAACTCATATGGTGGCCAACTACCATTAATGCAAACTAAGACAGACAGGGGGCTTCACTATCCTCTGGAAAGGCGTTAATTGCACATCTCTGGAAACTATTCTCCCGTATAAACAATTCATCTTCTCAGCTAAGTAAAGGCAGCTTAGATTCTCTTTATCACACTAAAATCTAAACTTTAAAAACATACAGTGTACCGTTTTCCATTGTTTGGTTGGTGAACATAAAAAGTCGAAATGAAACGCACCTTTAGAAATGAAATGGGAATAAAGAACCAGTGAGGTAAACAGAGCATACGAGTGACAATACTGCATTTTTAAACTGATACAACGGAGGTATAACGTACACGTATAACCAGGTTTGTGATTCGAAATGATGTATTTAAATGGAAAGTTTTGACTTGTTGGGAAATACAAAGCAGGCTGTAGCTGTGTATTTAGTGCGTAAACATGAGGTCGGTTATAAATATTCTCATTTGATCTAACTCTCATAAAGAAAAGGTATTTCCCAAAATGTCAATCATTTCCTTTTCAGTTTCATCCAAATTCTTTTCCCTTTGCTAAACTGACTTTGATTTAGATTTTGACTTTGATTTAAAAACCAAATTGTATTTAAGCTGCAACATAGAAATACTTAAAATTCATGATAAATATGCAGTTATCCTCACAACTTACTGATTGATCATTGGTTAAATAAAATTTCAGATATTTGTGACGAATGCCCGTCACTAAATCCTGAAGTCTGAGATGGCGTCTTATTTTGTCCACGCAAATATCAAAATTACAATGATGCAAGATTCTCACATTGAACTGAAAAATCAACTGATGGATCAAAAGACAAATCGATGAATCGAAAACTCGTTGCAGCTCTAAATGACTTCAGAAGATTTGAGCATTGTCACATCATTAAACTAAACAATCTCCAGCTCCACTAACTCTCTTGTTTTGAGGATTTGGACCACACCACACATCCTTATCCGCCCAGCTGACGTGAAACTGAGCATCTTTTGAGTTGAGATTGTTTTATCAACGTTCTCGGAGGGATTTTTGAATGCAGCCACACCATCTGCGGCCCTGTTACTGCAGCCGTCGAGGCACTTGCTTTGACCACAAAAACAACGCAGAGTGGCTTTTTTTTTTTTGCAACAACGGACATCAGAAACACTTGAAAAGTCATTTCTGGGAATTAACAAAAATGACACGTTAAAAAAATCATACGTCACAGTAAACAGAACTAAAATAAAAGAAGGTATTTGTCTTAGAGCCTAGTGTGATTCAAACAGGTGACGTGCCCGTGACTTTTAGAACGTCTGCTCCTCGCACTGTGACCGAGTGACCTCTGTGTGACGCCATAGTCGTACAGTAAAGTGCACTTCATCTGTCTGCTCCACATACTTACACAGAAAATGCTTCAAAATAAGCACAATAATATGATTCAGAGGTTTCTGCTCTCCCTTGAAATGAAGCTCAAAGTGCAGCGAGGAGACCCGAGTCGAGGTTTGACAACTGCTTTCTGATTCTTTCAAGGAAAACTGAAACCTGTGTGCAACAACACATCTGGCATCCATGTAATCACTCAGCAAACAATGACACAAGTCTACGCTTGCGATCTTCTATGTGCAAATATTCAGCAGTCATATCCTCCGGTTTGTCATCTGTGTCACCACTTCACTAAGAATGTCCCGACTGCTCAGTGCAGAAAGTTTTCTTGTGGTTGTTTATGTGCCCCTGAGCTCTGAGCCGACCGTCGGGATAATATCCGGTTCACACAGGTTCTCCTGGATCTCCCTAGTGTAGGTCCAGCTCTCCCTCATTCTTCCTGTGTATGTGTTACAGTCTACAGTCTCTCCTCTCTTGGGGCTACCTGATACGCCCGTCACTTTTGACAGGGCCCAGTTCAGACTTGGGGTCCGGGGACAGAGAGCTCCAGGAGGTTTTGGAGCAAGGTCCCAGTGCTGGGCAGGAGGAAGTCTGTGTGGTGCACAGGTTGCCCATAACCCAGAAGGTCCTCACACCACTGTCCAGCCACTCTTCAAGGGGAAGACCCACAAGCTGGGCTCTACGCTGGGCCTCCCGCATGGCAGGCTCCTGGGGAGGCAGCTTCAGCAAGGAGCTCAGCTGCTGGAAACTCTGCTCCATGTACATGTTCCCAGGAGGGCCTGCATGGAGCCAGCTGTCCTCTTCTGGACGGGACATTCATATTCAGAGACAAAGAGAAAATGAAAAAGTGGAAATCCATCACATGATTCATCTCATATATCTCATATTAATGAATACCAGTATAGTAATAAAAGAAATAAAAAGATGGAATATTATGATCGTTATCCTCAAACTGTCAAACTCACCTTTGCGAAGTGGCTCCTTATCTTTGAAGGTTAGCGGCATGACAAGGAAGCGAACTTCTGCCACACGCTCCCATTGCTTTAACACCCGCACTGTCCAGGTCCCGGGCCGCAGGGGGCGCTGCAACGGCGGTTTGTACTGGGTGTATTCTGCATCCACATCCACTGTGATGTCGTATGACGCTGCCACCACCAGAGCCGGGTCAAGCCACACAATAGTGGCTGTGAGGTTGGGACCACGGGCCCAATTCTGGACTGCCAGCGGTTCATCCAAAGGCCCGATGACCCCACCGAAGTTACGGAAGATTCGTTCTTTTGGATCCCACCCTGTGCCGATCTGTCAGGGAGAGATTCAGTCAGTAGAGTCCTGAAATAAGTGTGTGTGTAATGTGGCCCAATAAAGTGAAACATTTACAACCACATTTTTAATACTTGACGACAAGGTAAATGATTATGTTAGAACTTTCTGCACTCACCATCCTCCCAATATTAATCTTTAAACCTAATTAATCTTCAAAGGTCAGCGATGGTCAGATCAAGCCCTGATCATATCACCACAGTCTTTACATATCAGGGAGAGAATCTTTCTACGCAGCAGTTTTCTTAAGGTGCCTTCATCTTTAAAGCTCAATTTTATTTTAAGAATAAGCATCTATCATGAGTCACACACAAGGTAAGAGCTTCTACCCCAGAGGGCACTTACTTCCAGATTCTTCAGTCTTTCAAACTCTTTAAGGTTCTTCTCCAGTACGAACGAGGCCTGCGGCACTGCCCACATCTCCAGCGTCTCCCTGACCTTTGACCCCACAGCCTGAGTTTCCTGACGCACCACGTACCCTTGGAAACGGTCGTCATAGAAGTACAAGTGTACCGATAGAGGGTAGCCTACTGATTCAAACCTAATGTGAGGGAATACATAAACCATTAATGTCATATGAAAGTAATGTATATTTAATAGAGGAACATAAGACAAACTTTCTACCTGCAGGACTCCACATTGCTCTGAGCCGTCGCCAAATTCTTCAGACCCAGGCGAAAGAAAGAAGTGTAAGCAGTGAGAGCCACGTCACTGAGAGAGCCAACACTGTCCGACTGCTCGAACACGCTCTCCCAGTACGCCTTGATGGCAATGGTGCCCGGAGCGTACTGGCCGTAGAGGTGAGTGTCCAGGATGTCTATGGCCTCCTGGTTCACTGTTGACTCAAATTTACGGGCAAAGAATGTGGGACGGGTCAATTGCTGTCAAAGAGAAAGAGAAAAAACAGAAATGAACCAAACTGGTGATAAAATAAAGCTGGAAGAAAGTGTACCTTGAAGCCAGGAGAGTTGTGGCTCTGTGCTGCACTCTGGCTCTCTTACCTGTATCCGGATGAGGTCTTGCGGTTTGAAATCATTGGGAGAGCAGCCACACCAGTCGACAATGTGCTTGTACTGACATTTACAGCCAAGCTTACGATTCCAGTTGGTGACCCGCAGGTTGTTGTCCACCAGGGTGTCACACATATGACTGTTCCCCAGCACCGTGTGGAAGAAAGACTGGGGAGAGAGTGCCGGGGTCAATAAAATATTTCTCCAGTGAGATACAACAAAGAGGGGGAAAGTACTGTCATCAGTCAAAGATGCACATCAGCGGTTTCTAACACAACTTCTTCAGATTGAAAAAGGTCATGCAGGTCATTGAACCCTGGTCTGGCATCTCTGCTGCATACTGCACCCAAAAGCTTCAAATATGCTGCTAAACACAGAATATAAACAGACCACCTGAGGCTCACTTACCTCAGCGGGGAGCAGGGCGTAGGAATAGAACTGCTTCAGCCCTGTAACCAGGTCATCCTGGGAGTTGATGACGTACTCCACAAAGCGGCGGGTGAGCGCAAACCAATCAGAGCCACCTGAGACCTCCAGGCCTTCTGGGATGCTGCGCTCCCCAAGGCGCCACATGTGGTTGTCACACTCGTGGAAGAGACGGTCGAGGCCCTGCTTTTTAATAAACCTGGAAGACAAAAGACGTTGGAAAATAATAAATGATCATTTATCAAATGTTTTGTTATTTAATTTGCAGACTTGCTGGTTATATGTTTACGAGATGTCCGATGTTATTAAGAGAGATGTGTTTTTATGGGGTTGTGTTAAAGCTAGCGTCCTCACCGTGCATTCTCTCTCCCGTGTGACTTGAGGAAGTTTTTGTCTCTGTTCTGAGACAGGAAAGCCACCAGTTCATCATTGGTCCTGCAGGAGGGCGTGAAGGTGAGTATTAAAAGGAATAGAGGTTAGGTCAGGAGGATTCTTTGGATATAAAGGGCTTGAACGAGCGTGGTGCTGGTTGACATAATCAACAAGGAAGCAAAATAACAAAAAGCACCACAAAGGATTTGACATCAAAAGTATTTAACATTTGCACAACCTGACCACAGTAAAGTTTAAAGCCAGTGCAAAGTTTCTCAGACATAACAGCTATGTTTTGTTTTGTTTTGTATTATGGAGGTTATCCGAATCTCCAATGTTACTGCATGTGGCTGACCAACCTGGTGGGGAAGTCTGTGGCGCTGAGATTGATGAAAAAATCCCATTTCCAGTCCAGCATGGAGAGCAGGTCCTGCATGCTGCGTAGGTAAGCCTTCAAGAGGCTGGCACCCCCCCAGATGGTGATCATCCTCCAGGGCGTGGCTCGCACATTTGGGAACTGCTGGGCGAGCTGCAGGACCTCTCGGTGCATGTAGCCGGACCGCTGGAGGATTCAAAAGCAAAAGGTCAAACGGTTACATGAGTTGTGTTTCTGCATCACTAATGTAATCCAGTTTTAGTTGGGTAACAGTTGCCACATATCTGCAGCTGCCACTGTGCCAGGACTACCACACAAAGCAGGCTTACACTGAAAGAGAATCTGATCCGAGAGGAACAAAAGCCACGTTGTGCTTTCTACTGCGCAAAACAATCAAAATAAGCCTTTTTTGCCTTGTGGTAGGTTGACTGCTTATTTCTTTAAGTGGCTATAGGTGACAGCGAGACAGAAACAAATGAACTAAGCTTAGAGGACAGTCTGGAGGGAACTGCAGAGGAGGGATTAAACATTAGCAGGGAATAGAGGATGAGATGGAGAAAGTCAAAGAGCTGACAGGTATTCAAGCCTTCAGCAGACGCATTAAAAGTGGTGAAAGATACTGCTATGAGTGAGCATATGTGACCATGTGTCTGTGGGTTCAAAATTTCACCTATTCAACTTTTAACGATTATTTACCAACCGATTAACCATCATGTTTCCAAATAAACAGAGCTAATTAAGGTTCTGAAGCATTAAATAAGCAGGTAAAGAGAAAAAGACAGAAATTAACTGCCCAATGTCTGCGACCTACTCTGACATATTTGGCAAGAATATGTGTGTGACCTGATTGTGTTCAGAAAGGAGAGCAACAGAGTGACAATCATCCTAAACTCATACTCCTCACTGGCATACAGCAGGAAAAAAGAAAGACGTATGGATAGTAAAGTGTGAACAGACTGATTCCAGTACGGGACCTGTTATAGAGTCTCAACTCTCAACAGGCTTCTGCCTCAGTGATGGGTCGATGAGGTCTGGCGGGCACGCTGTCTGAGATTGTGTCTGTGGTGTGACTGTTCTACTGATTCCTTATTCATCACTGCCTCCGGTGATTCTCTCCACCGTCCCTTGGCAGCAGAACGGGTTGGACTCCGTAACCTTTCCGGCTGCACAGGTGCACTGACAATAGGAGCCTGTACCTCTGCTGTCCCTGCTCTACACACCTGAGGTCCCCGCCTCACCATCACCAGCCACACATTTGTCTTACACCTTCCAGCCGCACATGACAACAGACCTTTCCTCCACTAAATCCAGCCCCTAAGAATAACCACGCTTCACTCTATCTGGGCTAATCCCCTTTACCATACTGAGAGACCCGTGGGATAAATTTAACCTCCATAATGCAGGAAGACCTAACCGGTTAAAGCTTGGTCATGAGCTCAGTGTAGCAGGCACCAAGCAGGGAAACAATGTTCAGCTTTAGCATGAATAAACAATACTGTAGGTCCCTAGCGCCTGGACGTTGCACGGGCACATTGCAGAGAATGGATTACCTTGTCTACATGGATGTAGTAGTAGTGGTCACGGTGGTATATGGCCTTGATGAGACGCTTGAGCTGCCGTACGGCTCGGCCGTGGACCATCAGAACAAAAGCCACCCTGATGGGGTTCTCCACTTTGGACAGGCTGTTGTCCAGCTCGCCAACGGACTGAACTGAATTTAATATACCTGAACAAAGAGGATGGAGGAATTGAGGATTCAGGAGTTGTTGTTCAATGTTCACAGTAGGCTGTATAATGGGTTTACGTCAGAAGTGGACAACATTTCAAAAAAGGCATTAAAATATTGTCTTTGTTTCTTTTCTTTTTTTTTAGATTCCCTCAAACAAGCCTCCCACGCACACATGCTGCCAAGTGTGTTCACTGGAATGCGCAACTAACCCAGAGGCGTGGGCTGAGCGGTCTGCTCAACTACAACCCTTAAACTATACTAGAATTGTGTAGTAAATTCAATGTTCATTCACTGGATAAAAAATGTGAAATTGGCTGCCTATGACTTCTAACTCAAAATCATTATCAAAATTGTTGAAGCAACATTTTTCTGCTGATCAGCTGCAGTTTTCTAACCATTGCCACGAGTTCACTTTAGAAGCTTCTCACCGAGCTGGGGGCAGAACTGAGGGAGTGCCTTTGGCATGAGCAGACCAGCCTGATGCTGGCACACGATGTTGGCGATCTCTTGTCGGCACTGCTGTGACCCAGCGCGATGGAGGGCGGAAAGGGCGTCCTTGCCTATGATGTCACACTTAGGCACAAAGTCACTACTGGAGGCTTGGTGTGCGCCATCCACACTGCCCGGCTCCCCTGGTATGGCGGCGACCGCAGCAGGTAGCTTAGCCGCCCCATCAGTACCTCCTTTGGTCTCGCTAAAGTTGCGGCTGCTTGACAAGTCAGGGGGGACGACAGCCCCCATTCCAGCGCCCGTCATCCCTCGCTCCTGGGGAGACTTCTGCTTGATACTGGGCTTCCCTCCTTGTCGGCTGGTTCCTCTCCTCAGCGCACTGGCTGCTGTGCCCCCTGTTCTCTCCAACCTGGCGCTCCATCTGCCCTTGTTCCTCACTGACAGAGAGTTTTGCTTCTCCCAATGTGCGGGGTCTCTCTTGGGGTCCTGGCTGTTGTGGTCTGGCAACTTAGACCGTCGTGTTTTCTTCTGAGGAAAGAGAGAGAGAGAGAGAGAGAAGAAAGCAGGACAGAGAGTAAGGGAGAGAGAACACGAGGGAGAGAGAGAGGAGGGAGACATTGAATAAAAATATGGTTCTGTTTCCATTCCATAAGAACATCTTGGACAAACATCACTGAGAAGAGGCGTTGATTCAGAATCCAAGAATGACATAAGGTAAACAAAGA